AAATTACGTCCGTATATCCAACAACATTATGTTGTGGTGCGGACGTCTTATCCACTACGACAAGTCCTCAATCGCCCTGACATGTCGGGGAGGATGATCAAATGGGTCGTTGAACTCGGACAGTTCGACATACAGTACAAACTGAGAACCGTCATTAAGGCCCAGGTACTCTCCGGCTTGATTGCTGAATTCACTCTTGCAATCGAAACCATAACTGAAGATAAGTCGTGGACTTTGTATGTTGACGGTTCTTCAACCACAACTCGTGCCGGTGGAGGCGTTGTTTTGGTTAGTCCCGACAAACAAATATTCTGTCATTCGATCGCGTTTTTATTCCCAACTACAAACAATGAAGCTGAGTATGAAGCCCTACTATCTGGACTACACTTTGCCGAGTCCGTGAATCTCTCTTTTCTTCAGATATTTTCTGACTTGCAATTACTTATCAATCAAATCAATGGAACATTTGAAGTCAAAGAACCTCGGTTGATGTCTTATCTAAATCTCGTGTTAAAAAAGTTAGACAAATTCAAGTTTCAAGTGGAACACATACCTCGGTCTTCAAACATCCAGTCGATGCTCTTTTATGACTCGCATCTAATACCGATTTGAAGGACGTTGAATATGCTCAAATCAGTCAACAAGAAGCGGCGTCAACTTTAATTACTGACGTCATGGCAACCGACTTGGGTTCCACGAATAAAAAACCGACATGGATAAATTCTATTATATATTATTTACAAACTGGAGCCCTACCAGATGATCCGAAAGAAGCAAGATTACTCCGCGTTCGTGCAGCTCGGTTTACAAGACAATGGAACTTTATACAAACGAGGATACCCGACCCCGTTACTCAAATGTCTTACCGAGGAAGAGTCCCACCATGTTTTAGAGGAAATCCACACTGGTTTTTGCGGTAGTCATCATGGAGCACATGCCTTGGCGTATAAAATATTACGTCAAGGATATTACTGGCCGACTTTGAAGTCGGATGCCACATAATGGGTACGAAAATGTCATAAATGTCAAATATTCATCTACAGTCCGTGGCCATTTGCAAAATGGGGAATTGACCTCATTAGTCCACTCCCCGCTAAAAAAGGAAATGTTAGATTTTCCGTAATAGCAGTCGACTATTTCACAAAGTGGGTGAAAGCAGAACCTTTGGCTACCATAACTGAACAAAAAATGATCGACTTTGTTTGGAAATCAATAGTCTGCCGAGTTGGAGTTCCCAATTCCAACATTACCGAAAATGGCCGACAATTTGAAGGCATGAAATTTGAGACATTTTGTGAAGACTACGGCATCAAACATTTCTTCTCGTTGCCATATCATCCACAAGTCAATGGACAAGTTGAAGCCATAAACAAAATCATAAAAAATGGATTGAAGACCAAACTTGACTCGACAAAAGGAACTTGGCCTGAAGAATTGCCTCATGTTCTATGGGCATATCGAACAACAACTTGTACATCAACTGGAGAAACTCTATTTTCGTTAACTTATGGAGCTGAATCCATGGTCCCAGTAGAACTCGAATCACCGATGTACCGAGTCAAACACTTTCATGAAGAATTAAACTCGGAAAATTTGAAGGCCAACCTTGATATGATCGACGAGCTACGCAAAAGAGTCGAGGTCAAGAATGCCACATATAAAAGATCAAGCGAGAAATACATCAACGCAAAGTTCAAGCCGCGCCCCTTGTAAAAAGGAAAAATCCATCTTCGATAAAACACTCGTTAATCCAAACCACACAGAGAGACCGTACAAAAAGCAGTAGTTTCCTGGATTATTTATAGCATCAACAACCATCTTCGATAAGACGCTCGTTAATGTCGGGGGCCAACTTGTTGATATCTCTCTCAATAACTACAACATAAACAATCATTATCGATAATTCGATTGTTTCCAAAGTGAAGATACCTCGGGTCAAGATAGAGTAAAAACCGACGTCCCTTCCCGACAGTGAAATACGGAGGATGATGACTTACCGACACTAACCGAGGTCTTCACAGTGTAAGCTTCTTAAACCGAGGTTTGTGACCGAGGTCTACAAAAGTTAACTTTTCATATGGCGGTGAATCATCATCAAAACGCCATTCTTGTTGCTTGATCAGCAGATGACCACCTCCAAAAAGTAGCTTTACATTTAATGCAATCACGCCTACCTCGTACATCGGGTCAACCGCACTATAAATAGCTGGATTGACTAAGAATAAAGGACTTTTTTTTACCCTTTTCTGGAAAAATGGACAGTATGAGAACGTGAATAATCTCATGACTGTAACGTCGTTTGGACACTAAACTGACATCTTATATCCTCAAAATCCTCATCAATAAAGCTTTTATCAAGCATCTTTATATTTAATTTTTGTTGTTAATTGCTATACAACAACACCACTACGAAGATCCAGTTTGGTAAAGACAGTGGCACCATGAAACTGATCAAACAGGTCATCTAAACGAAAAATAGGAGAGCGATATCTGGAAGTAATTTTGTTGGTCGCCCGATTTTCCACACACATACGTCATGCTCCATCTTTCTTCGGGATCAACAAGGCCGGTACTGCACATGGACTCAGACTCCAGCGAACAACACCACGCTGAAGGAGCTCCTCTACCTGATGCCGTAGCTCCTCGTGCTCTAACGGGCTCATCCGATAGTGTGGACGGTTTGGCAAAGAAGCCTCTGGAATCAAGTCAATCTGATGTTGAATATCCCGAAGTGGCGTTAAACCAGAAGAAAGCTCCGAGGGAAAGACGTCAGCAAACTCAGAGAGCAAATACTGGATAGCGGCGGGCGGCTCCTGAACTCCGGTAGTATCTGACCCAAACAATGAAAGAACAAACAGTGCCGACTGCATCTTGACCTCAAAGGCTGCCCTAGAAAGAAAAAGAACAATCGAAGAACTGGATGGTTGTGAAAGACGCATAGGACTCGGATGCAAAATAATCTGAACACTGGCGATGAAGCTGTAAGTGTTACGTCTGCAGTCAAGAGTAGCAACTATGTCATACTGCCATGGTCTGCCAGGTAACAAGTGGCATGCATCCATAGGCACCACATCGCATTTCTTCCTTTGTAATTTGGGAACCATCTCTCATTTTTCTACTTTCCCACTTTTGGACAAGCTTTATTTTCTATTTTGCTCTCTATTTCTTTCTTGGAGCTTTATGTCATCATTTCCTGGCCAGTATTCTGGTGTTTTCGTTTTTTTCCAAGTTCCGAACTTTTAAATCTCATTTTCGTCTAACACACAATAGATGATTGGGTATTTACTTTTAAACTTCAATACTTTAGTTTTTGCCTCGATTTTACATATGATGCCTATCAAGGTGAATGTGAGTGTTTGTTGGATGATGAATGGAAAGTTTGGAATTGATTGTTTTTATTGCTTGCTTGAGTGATTGTCGGGATTAATTGCTTGCCTATCTAGATTAAGGGTTGAGACTCTATTTAAAGCTTAATCACTTAGGGTTAGAAGGTTAGCTTCATGCCTAGTGCTTAGGTCTTACATATTTCTTTTTTATTTGTTTTCTTTTTTTGTGTCGAATGACATAGAGACTCCGGTAGTTTAATTTCGATATTCTCTCGTTTTGCTATTTGCTTTCATTTACTTTTGATTCCGAGATTAGCTTAGCATTGATTCACCCCCGAACTAATTGATTAGAATGCTTGGGTCTTTATTTTCTCGTTTTTGTGTGTTTTGGACGATCAAGTAGTAGACAAAGCTCCGAACAGCTTTTCTTTGAGAACTACTCGAGGTCGGATAGCTCGATTACCAAATACCCCACAAAGTACAACAAAACGTTCCTCTAGGACCTGAAGCCTCCTCATCAGCGCTCAATCTTCCTGCTACTTTTCTCGACCAACCGATTCACTCGGGCTTATCAGCCGATTTATCGGGTTTGCTCTAACTAGTTTGATATTCCATATCAGTTGCATATATGTAGAGAATATTGAGAATGTAATGTTATAATGGGCATACCTCACTCCCTTATATAGGGAGATGATACCTTGTTGCCTAAGACTGCCTGAGTGAGTTGCCCGAACTGCCCCATCTGGCCGATCTGCCCAATTCTATTTGACCTCGTAGCCTTATCCACATGTGGTCCTTATCTTGTTAGTATTCCTTTTTATCCATTAGTATTTTTCATTATACTGCTTAATGGGGCGACCAACTCAAATTCTGTAGAGGTAGAATGCTTCATGTTCAGAGCCTAAGTGTTGTCTTTCTGGTTGATCCCACGACCAACCTTACCTACAGGTCGAGTTTCCAGGAGGCCATCTGAGACTCCTAGCTTGACCTATCGTTGTCCCTTTGAACACCTAACGTCCTCTTCGACTTGAAGACTCCTTGTTCTCCACTGGCGATCAACCTCCATTCGGGCCTTCATGTGCCTCTGTTCGGCCGATTTATTGGATTTGCTCTACCTGGTGTGCTATCCCATATCAGGACCCAAATCGACTCAGCCCGAAACCATAAGAAGTTTTCAAAAAAAAAAAGACCATTGGATCTCCAACGATCAAAACTTTCAGTGGTCCAAATTTAATGGTTTACGGTTATAGTTTCAGGCACATCCCGGAACCGAAAACAATCATTTTTCCTTATAAAGTTTTATTTAATAGTAAAGAATTTATTAAAACCTAGAGTAAAGTCGGTTCTGGTTAAAACTGAAACCGGAACTGGGGGTTCAAATTTCTTCCGATGAACTTGAATCGACTCGGATAGAAACGCGAGATGATTCAAGGCCCGTGGTCAACAGTTCGAGCCGGGCCCAAAAAACTTTATTTCGAGTTTGGATCAGTTCGGGATACGGTTGGTTGGTTCGTGGACATGTCTACATTTAATAGTCAAGCATCATCTTAAATCTCTATAAAATGGTCCAATTTCATTTTAACATTTAATAGTCTAGCATCATCTTAAATCTCTATAAAATGGTCCAATTTCATTTTACATTCAAATAAACCCATCTCTCCCCTCCTCTCTCTAATGGAGTTTGGCAGAATTCTTCCTTTCCTGGAACACAACTCCATTCTTGTCACTGGTGCCAATGGCTTTCTAGCTAAGAGTATCTCTCTCTCTCTCTCTCTCTCTCTCTCTCTCTCTCACTCACTCATATGAAATAATAGTTTGTGCATGGGCCAATTACAGTCTTCATTGAGAAGATATTGAGGGTACAACCAGCAATCAAGAAGCTTTATCTTCTTTTGAGGGCGCCAGACACTAAAACAGCCATGTCACGTTTCGACACCGAGGTTTTAATATAATTTTTAACTCTAAATTATAATATTAGTCAGTTTTCGACACCGTTTATTTGTTTGAGACTAAAAAACTTTGTTGTTGTTGTTGTTGTTTTCTCGTACCATTAATTCCATATTGGTCCTAAAAATAATTAATATGCGTATGTGCAGGTTATGGAAAAGGACTTGTTCAGGGTTTTGAAAGAGAAATATGGGGACAACTTAAATTCCTTTATATCGGACAAAGTTAGAGTTGTTGCTGGCGATATTACATGTGATAATTTAGGTGTGAAGGACCAATATTTATTGGAAGAGATGTGTGAACAAGTTGATATCGTGCTTAATTTAGCTGCCACCACCAAATTTGACGAAAGGTATGTTTTTAATTATTCCATCGAGGTTCGTAACCGTTAGATCATCATGTAACTGTCGGGAATAGATGATGATCTAACGGTTACAAATTCCGACGGAATGGTCTCGTAAAGAGACCATAGCATTTCCCGTTTTTATAATATATATTGTATCTTATATAAAAACTATGACGGCCATCCAAATGAAACTGATCAAGAATTTACTTTAATTTTCCTTAAATTAATTTGTTTACAAATTTAATTTAATTATATTATGCGTGCAGATATGATGTTGCACTTGGATTAAATACGCTGGGAGCTGGGCATGTTTTATATTTTTCAAAGAAATGCAAACAATTAAAGTTGCTCGTTCATGTATCAACCGGTTAGTTCATGTCCTGGACTGTAATAAATTTAAATTTATTTTTAATCTATTTTCATCTTTTTTGTTTTTCCTAAAATTAATTTATTTTTTCTGTATTGCATTTTTTTTAAACCATTCTTGGTTAATTAAAATTATAAGTCTACATGTGTCATATAGATGTTGCATATATATTCATAGGGGAGGATCCAATTAATCCACTTCTTAAAATGAGTCCACACCTTAAAATGAGTCAATTCCTTAAAATATATATTAATTAAATAATAAAATAATTATTAGTTGACTCCGGCGTTGACCGTTGACTTCCGGCGAAAAATCGTTGACTTTCGTCGTTGACCGTTGACTTCCGACGTTGACTCTGGCGTTGACCGTGACTTCCGTCGTTGACCCGTTGACCCCTAGTATGCATTATATGTATGAAGTAAATATGCATCAAGTACCATACATTCAATATGAACTAAATATGCATGGGATATGAATTGCACATGCAGTTCTTATGAACTAAATATACATCAATAATATCAACTAAGTATGCACCTGTTATGAACTAAATATGCATCTGTTACGAACTAAATATGCATCATGAATGAACTAAATATGCAGCGAAAAATATGCAATAAAATGTGCATTTAATATAGGAAATTTATGATGCATATTTAGTTAATTTTTTATGAATATTTAGGTAATTTATGATGCATATTTAGTTAATACGAAATGCATATTTTTTATATTTAAATTAATTATATAATAATATTTATATAATTAATTATTATGCAATATGCATATTTACTTAATTCATGATACATATTTTAGTTCTTACGAAATGCATATTTAGTTCATGAACAGTGCATACCTATTTTGTTTGAGATCCAATCATAACAATTTATTTGTGTTATTAATCAAATTAAAATTAAAATTAATCATATAATAAAAATTATTTGTGTTATTAACTAAATATGCATCTGTTATGAACTAAATATGCATCATGAATGAATTAAATATGCAGCGAAAAAATATGCAATAAAATGTACATTTTATATAGTTAATTTATGATGCATATTTAGTTAATTTATTGTGAATATTTAGGTAATTTCTGATGCATGTTTAGTTAATACAAAATGCATACTTGTTATATTTAAATTAAATATATAATGATATTTATATAGTTAATTTATGATGCATATTTAGTTTATTCATGATACATATTTAGTTCTTACGAAATGCATATTTAGTTCATGAACAGTGCATACATATTTTATTTTGAGATCCAATCATAACAATTTATTTGTGTTATTAATCAATTTAAAATTAAAATTACTTATATAATAAAAAATCATTAATTATTATATTTAATTTAATTGTATAAAATGTATATTTTATTGCATATTTTCGTTGCATATTTAGTTCATTCCTGATGCATATTTAGTTAGTAAAATGTGCATATTTAGTACATAAACAGTGCATACATAGTTGATATTATTGTTGCATATTTAGTTCATAAGGATGACATATATAACTCATTTCTTATGCATATTTAGTTCATACGAAGTGCATAGTACTGTATGTATATTTACTTCATACAAAATGTAGACTACGGGTCAACGGTCAACGCCGGAAGTCAACGGTCAACACCAAAGTCAACGACGGAAGTCAACGGTCAACGACAGAAGTCAACGATTTTTTGTCGGAAGTCAACGGTCAACGCCGAAAGTCAACGGTCAACGCCGAAGTCAATGGTCAATTGTCAAAATAATATTTAAATAATTAAAATAATAAAAATAAAGAATTAATTAATAAAAATAAAGAATTATTATTTAAATGAAGAGTTAAATCTTGGCCACACATCATGTACCAATCTAGTGGCTAGGAATGGGTCTCACATTCACACTTTAAATATGTGTACTCATTGGATCCAATCCCTATATTCATATATATATATATATATATATTCCGCTCGTGATATCCCCCTATGTCCCCTCCCCTATATATATCCTCCCTATATATAATTCTCGAATGCCCTGAGTCTACGTGGCTGCTTCTGGTGCTTCGGAATCCTATTTGGCGAAGAATCATGCTTCGTAATTAGGTTTGGACAAATAATATTGATATATTAATAATTAATAATCTAGGTTCGAACATTCCATAAATATTATTTAGCTAACTTAGGTATTTTAATATCACTTTTACTAATATAACCCTTTAATTGTTTGTAATTTTACATAGTGAGACACTAAGTGACTAATATATCCCTGACTTTTGATTTGTTTCCTTCAATTAGCTATTGAATTGTAAATGTATTTTAAAAGTAGATAACTTTTGTATTTCTTATCAGTTTTACATATATAATATATCAAATTAATCATCTTTTGATGATCTTCGATTTGACATCCATATTGTACATATGAAATGAATAAATTATATTTATCTTTATAATAATAATAATAATAATAATAATAATAATAATAAATAATAATATTTATTAAACTTTATTAGAAAAATAAAATTATTTCTCAATTGATATATTTATGTTTAATGTAGTTATATGTTGTAAATTAAAAAAAAATATTATAATATAACACAAGTAAGTCGCACAAATAAAAAAGTGTCATACTAAATATATAATAATATATATATATATATATATATATATATATATATTTATAAAAGGTATTGAAATTTTCAATTACTTTTGCTCATTAATATTAGATTTAAAAAAAAAAAATTAGCAAGACACCCATGTAATACACGGGCGTTGTACTAGTTAATTAATTAATTCAGTTAATTCAGAACTCGTTGAGCCTACGTGGCTGCTTCTGGTGCTTTGAAATCCTATTTGGCAAAATTACATGCTTCGTTATTAGGCTTGGATAAATTTTAATTTAATTCCAAATAAAAAATAATTAGGTACGGATTACCATAAATCTGTTGATTATTAATGGTCATGTTACATGTATTAATTGCATTTTAATATCATTCATTATTATAACTATTGAATTATATATATATATATATATTAAAATTTAATAACTTTTGTATTTTTTTTATCATTTTTACATATGTAATATATCAAATTAATCTTCTCTTGATGAGCTTCGATTTAAGATCCATATTGTATGTGTAAAAAAATAATTTATATTTATCTTTATAACAATAATAAAATTATTTTTAATATTAATTAGAAAAATAAATTTATTTATCAACTAATATATTTATATTTCAAGTACTTATATGATATAAGTTATAAAAACTAATATAATATAACACATGTAAGTCATAATTAACACATATCATTCTAAAATATGTAGTAATATTTTTTTTTGGTAAAAATATAAACTAAATGTAATATAGTTTTCTTATTAATTTTAATTAAAAATATTTTTTTAACAAACACTCGTGTAATACATGAGAGTTGTACTAGTAACTAATACTGTTCTATTTTTTCGTAATTAATAAGAGCCCTTGAGCCACAAAAAGACAAACTTAACGTATGCTTGGACAACGATTTTTAAATCCTTTTTAACCAATCATCTTTTTTTTTTTAAAAAAAAACTTGAAATAATTCAATTTAGTTTTTCTCAATATTATCAAACCCCTATATATATATTTAGTGTAAATTTCGTGCGATGCACGGGAGATTATACTTTAATATATTTTTTCAAAACTTTATATTAACAATATAATAGTCTGTTGATCCATTTATATTAATATAAATAAGGTTTTAATATATATATATATATATATATATATATATATATATATTCATTTTTTATTTTGGTTCATCATAATACTCAAATATTATTTTATTAAAAAATTATTGTCGTATATTGTCATTATTATTTATGACACTTATAGAAGTAATATTTTTTATTTATATATTAAAAATGTGATTATATGTAAGTTAAGATAAAATAAAATGTATCCAAAGAAATCTACTTATGATATTTTCCTTTAAATGTATGAATGAATTTGAAATTCAAATTACAAATCAACCGCCAGTTTTTAAAAAAAAAAATTACCAATTATAGTAACATCAAAAATTTTAAGCGGGAGTTTACTTTCTACTTAAAGTAAATCCCTATTGCAATTTATAGTAATGACTAAATTGTATTTTTAGTACTGCTAGTTTAACGTCATAACATTTTTAGTCCTATGATTCTAACATTTTTTTTTCTTTTGTTCATGTGATTTAATATTTTGCTGCAATTTCAGTTCTTTGAGGACTGAAATTGCAACAAATTTATAAACTTATAGATTTTTTGTTATCAAATAAGGTCCTATAGTTTAAGACTTTGTTACAATTTCAGTCCTGTTGTTTACAATTTTGTTGCAGTTTCAGTCCTCAAAAGACTGAAATTGCAGCAAAATAATTAATCATAGTACCAAAACGACAAAAAGTAGATACATTGAGACTAAAACTGCTATGGTGTTAAATCAACGTGGTTAAAAATGCATTTTTTTTCCTTATAGTAATAGATTACAGAATGCGCTGATCCTAACTGAGAGTTTCGCATGCTTTGTTATCTTGTGGCAAAATATTACGCTTTGTAATATGGCTGGGGTGAATTACTACTTTTTTTTTTTATACCAATTATCTTACTTTTGGATTTCTATAAATAAACATATTTAATATAGTATAAATTCCATATATATATATGTTTGTTATCTTTTTTCAATAACGTGCATATTATTTCACTTTTCGTGTTTTTTCCATATTTTTTTATGTGTATTTTAAATAAAAAATTTATAAATAAAACTTATAATGTATATAAATTAGTTCTTACAATTAAAAATAATATCAATTCACTATTTCTTTATTATAAACTGTTATATATTGTTCTTTACTTATTATTCAATCAACAAAATATATAAATATTTTTTATTTTTATTGTACATTAACTATTTTATCAAATACCTGTGTAGTACACGAGTCTTGTACTAGTAGTTAAATATTACCGAATCAATCATCCACACACATCTCATCAACTTTAACTCGTTGTTGATCCATACACATAATATTAACTAATCACCACTTTCAATCACTCTGACTTTTAAATCAAATCAATTTTAATTATTTTATTTTAGTTTTTTTATCCACACACAATTTAAATTAATTATCACTCCCAATCACACAAATTCAGAATCCTATTAAAATTAACAATATTTTTTTTTTTTTAAAAAAAAAATTAACTCTGATTAATAAATAAAATAAATAAAAACTAGAATAACCAATCAAAAACTTATATCCCACCAATCCATTGACATGTGCCCAAGAATACTGACTGCCCAACAGCCCAAGAAGACACGTATATAAGTACTGTAGCATTAATCACAATCAAAAATAGTAAGTAAAATAAAATATCAATAAAAAAATTCATTTGTACACCACCACACAAGACATATATACCCTAAAAATTTGATGTGTTTAACTTGTTTCTTTAATTTTCCAGCTTATGTTTCTGGTGAAAAAGAGGGGCTCATATTGGAAAGCCCTTACAAAATGGGGGAGACACTCAATGGAACATTTGGATTAGATATTGATGAAGAGAAAAAATTAGTGGATGAGACACTAAAACACCTAAGAGATGAGAATCACACTGAAGACTTCATTACAACAACCATGAAAGACTTGGGAATTCAAAGGTTATATACATTCCTTATTATATATAAATAAATAGGAAAGACTGCAGTCTCGTCACAGAATGATTTTCGAACTTTAGCCATATATTAGGTATAATAACTAAATTGCGTACATATCTAAAGGCTGAAATCCCCCACGGAACTATTCCGTGACTGGACCGTAGTTTTTTTCCTAAATAATTAAATCCACTTTCATTTAATTGATATAAATAATGAATGCATTCTTCGCAAATGCCAAGTGAGTTGTGGTTTTACTTCTATTTATATTTAATTTACTAAGCATTATATGCTATGATTAGGATTTAGGAATCAAGTAAATGAAACTAAAAATATATTGGTAAACTAATAAACTACCAATTAATAAATTGGTATTTTGCATTCTACCTAGTCTTATGTGCTAAATTATTAAGCTCCGAAATAGGCTCAGATAAAAATTTGTTAAATTTTTATATCAAAACTCGAGTTTTACACATTTAATATATTTAAATCATTACATATAAACATCTATTCGCTTCTTTTTGTAATGTGCATATTAAATAATTTTTAATTTTGTGTTGTTTATAATTCATTTATGTGTTTCGATTAAAAATATTATAATATAAATTAACTTTCAGAACATAGAGTAATATTTTAAATTCACTTAATTCATAAATTGTTATATATTAACCTTTTCAACTTCAATACAATTTATATTTTGTTATTTATTTTTTATTTAATTTGATCAAACGTCGTACCAGTGTGTATTTAAATGCTTTGTCTCAGTTAATTTCATTCACTTACGTTTACATCAACATACAATAATTTGATAATCTATATATATAAAGATAATTAGTATTTATTAAAAATAGTAGAAAAAAATTTGGAAGCATTAAACGCATACTTTATTGGAAAACTTTTTAAATACATGCATTAATTGTTTAAATATATACATGTTTTTTAATCAGATCAACATATCTGCAATAATAAAATTTACATACATTGTAATAAACTAAAAAATTAATTTTTTGTGATTCATGTTAATAATATTTTGGTCAAGATAAACTAATTTTTTCCTTTTAATTAATCACGTAAAATCAAGTTGGTGAATTAGTTTTGTTAATATATATAATTTTTTTCTTAAAATTTATTTCATTATATATAAATAACAAATTATTCTTTAAATTAATATAAATTATCATTTACGAGATATGATCATAAAAATTAACTGGTTTAACTAATGGCCAGATAATAAAATTGAAATATATTGACTATTCTTTAAAATTTCAACTTGTGATTTATTTATAAATTATTGTCAACCATGATTAATTTTATTTTTATATTACTTTTTAATTTTGATTTATTTTTATAAACATATTCATTTAAATATATTTTATTGTATAGTATGCTAAATAACCTATAGAACCTTAGGATGCAAATTAAAACAAAAGATTATCCTAATTATAAAAGCGATTTACTTTTTGGCAATTGATAAATCAAAGTTGTTTAATTATTAAATTAAATTAAATTCTAAAAAACCATGTGTGTATATTTTGTAAAATAGTTATACACAATATTTATTCTAAATTTATTTACATAATTTAAATTCATTCAATTAATATATAATATTAAAGTGAATTAAATATTTTTCATTGCATAAATAAAAAGAAGAAGACTACCTCCATAACATTTATAAATAATAATAATGACATTATATGACAACAAATTGTATAATAAAATAATAATTAAGTTTTATATGGTGAACAAGAATAAGTAAAATTGTTATTTTTTCTTATATCAAGG